TATGGTATTTATTCCGTACAGGTGCCTTCAAACGATTTTTTAATTTTGATATCTTACTTTATAGTTGTTTACCTCCTGAATCCAAATATACCATTAATTTTCACCGCTGATGAATATTTCTCAAGATATCGCCGTAAAAACATACCTAACATTACTATAAACAAGATAGGGTGGATGACATTTACAAGTGGAATGAACTGTAGGTTAACTAAGCCTTAAGCCTACTTACAGCTGATTCTGTCGTCGGCAATTTGCCTATTGACGACATTTTACTTCACTACAAATAAAATACAAAACAAAATACTCATTCGTACCTACTCATATGTGTTGCGTAGTGCTAGCTAAGTGCTATTCTGTCTGCTACGCCGTCGCCATCACAAGTTCAGATTAAGTTAAGTGAAGAGAGTAACATGGTTGATGAGAAGAACAACATCGTTGACTAAAGATAATCCCTTAGATAATGCAAGCATTTTTGAAATAGTAATTTGAAGTGTTTTTCTCAGGATTTTAATTTTAGAAAAACAGTCTGCAGGCGACATAAACTAACAACTCGATACATTATAACCTAAACTTTAACTTACCTAATCTAACCTACCTTCAAAGGACTTAATGCAGTCACCAATTCACATAAAGCACGACCTATCACCCTGACATGCCTTTTCTGACATCAAAAGGAGTTTGCTTACACATTCTAGAGGTTTGGTTGGGTTAGGTTATGTTAGAATAGCACCATTTTAGTATGTAATTTCTAAACGGCGAAATATAAATCAATAAATCATTAATAAGGATAAAATACTGGTAACAATAATACATTATTAACTTATTGGTCTTAGAAAGTGAAAAGTGTAACTTAATACTTGTGTGAACCTGGCAATAACTCCAGCCATAAGTAGTGCGCGCGCCCGAAAAATCTATTGCTGGCCGATTTGCGGCAAAATACGGCCGCGTAACATAATACTGATGATGTCACCAGATAGAGGACACTTTAACGGACACGACAGTATCAATATCATGTACCTGGCGGATAAGAAAGAGGGGGTAAAGTCAGCAATAAGTAGTGGGCTTGCCCTAAAAAATCTATTGCCGGCCGTTTTGCGGCAAAATACGACCGCCTAACATGAAACCGATAATGTCACCAGATAGAGGACACTTTAACGGACACGACAGTATCAATATCATGTACCTGGCGGATAAGAAAGAGGGGGTAAAGCCAGCAATAAGTAGTGGGCTTGCCCGAAAAAATCTATTGCCGGCCGTTTTGCGGCAAAATACGACCGCGTAACATGAAACCGATAATGTCACCAGATAGAGGACAATTTAACGGACACGACAGTATCAATATCATGTACCTGGCGGATAAGAAAGAGGGGGTAAAATCAGCAATAAGTAGTGCGCGCGCCCTCAAAAATCTATTAATGACCGATTTGCAGCCAAATACGGCCGCGTATCATAATACCGATGATATCACCAGATAGAGGACACTTTAACGGACACAATAGTATCAATATCATGTACCTGGCGGATAAGAAAAAGGGGGTTAAGTCAGCAATAAGTAGAGGCGCGCCCTCAAAAATCTATTGCTGGCCGATTTGCGGCAAAATACGGCCGCGTATCATAATACCGATGATGTCACCAGATAGAGGACACTTTAACGGACACGACAGTATCAATATCATGTACCTGGCGGATAAGAAAGAGGGGGTAAAATCAGCAATAAGTAGTGCGCGCGCCCTAAAAAATCTATTGCTGGCCGAATTGCGGCAAAATACAGACGCGTAACATAATACCGATGATGTCACCAGATAGAGAACAATTTAACGGACACGACAGTATCAATATCATGTACCTGTCGGATAAGAAAGAGGGGGTAAAATCAGCAATAAGTAGTGCGCGCGCCCTCAAAAATCTATTAATGACCGATTGGCAGCCAAATACGGCCGCGTATCATAATACCGATGATATCACCAGATAGAGGACACTTTAACGGACACGATAGTATCAATATCATGTACCTGGCGGATAAGAAAGAGGGGGTAAAGTCGGCAATAAGTAGAGCGCACGCTCTCAAAAATCTATTGCTGGCCGATTTGCGGCAAAATACGGCCGCGTATCATAATACCGATGATGTCACCAGATAGAGGACACTTTAACGGACACGACAGTATCAATATCATGTACCTGGCGGATAAGAAAGAGGGGGTAAAATCAGCAATAAGTAGTGTGCGCGCCCTAAAAAATCTATTGCTGGCTGAATTGCGGCAAAATACGGCCGCGTATCATAATACCGATGATGTCACCAGATAGAGGACACTTTAACGGACACGACAGTATCAATATCATGTACCTAACAGATAAGAAAGAGGGGGTAAAATCAGCAATAAGTAGTGCGTGCGCCCTAAAAAATCTATTGCTGGCCGAATTGCGGCAAAATACGGCCGCGTAACATAATACCGATGATGTCACCAGATAGAGGACACTTTAACGGACACGACAGTATCAATATCATGTACCTAACGGATAAGAAAGAGGGGGTAAAATCAGCAATAAGTAGTGCGCGCGCCCGAAAAAATCTGCACGACTTGAGTGGCTGCGCATAATAGGATTATAGGCCTAATACTTTATGGTAAAAGTTGGTGATACAAAAGGATCGTCAACCAGTCTAGTCGTAAGTTGTCAGTTGTCACGGCTTTGAATCCTCTATCTGGTGACATAATCGGTATTATGATACGCGGCCGTATTTTGCCGCAAATCGGCCAGCAATAGATTTTTGAGGGCGCACGCACTAGTTTTGGCTGACTTTACCCACCCTTTCTTATCCCCCAGGTACATGATATTGATACTGTCGTGTCCGTTAGAGTGTCCTCTATCTGGTGACATAGTCGGTATTATGATACGCGGCCGTATTTTGCCGCAAATCGGCAAGCAATAGATTTTTGAGGGCGCGCGCACTACTTATGGCTGACTTTACCCACCCTTTCTTATCCCCCAGGTACATGATATTGATACTGTCGTGTCCGTTAGAGTGTCCTCTATCTGGTGACATAATCGGTATTATGATACGCGGCCGTATTTTGCCGCAAATCGGCCAGCAGTAGTTATTTTCGGGCGCCCGCACTACTTATAGCTGACTTTACCCCCCCTTTCATATCCCCCAGGTACATGATATTGATACTGTCGTGTCCGTTAAAGTGTCCTCTATCTGGTGACATAATCGGTATTATGATACGCGGCCGTATACTTTCGTAAAATGTCCAGCAATAGATTTTTTGAGGGCGCGTGCACTACTTATGGCTGACTTTACCCCCCCTTTCTTATCCCCCAGGTACATGATATTTATACTGTAGTGTCCGTTAAAGTGTCCTCTATCTGGTGACATTATCGGTTTCATGTTACGCGGTCGTATTTTGCCGCAAAACGGCCGGCAATAGATTTTATCGGGCAAGCCCACTACTTATTGCTAACTTTACCCCCCCTTTCTTATCCCCCAGGTACATGATATTCATACTGACGTGTCCTTTAAAGTGTCCTCTATCTGGTGACATCATCGGTATTATGTTACGCGGCCGTATTTTGCCGCAATTCGGCCAGCAATAGATTTTTGAGTGCGCGCGCACTACTTATTGTTGATTTTACCCCCTCTTTCTTATCCGCCAGGTACATGATATTGATACTGTCGTGTCCGTTAAAGTGTCCTCTATCTGGTGACATCATCGGTATTATGTTACGCGGCCGTATTTTGCCACAAATCGGCCAGCAGTAGATTTTTCGGGCGCGCCCTCTACTTATTGCTGACTTTACCCCCCTTCCTTATCCCCCAGGTACATGATATTGATACTGTCGTGACCGTTAAAGTGTCCTCTATCTGGTGACATCATCGGTATTATGTTACGCGGCCGTATTTTGCCGCAATTCGGCCAGCAATAGATTTTTTCGGGCACGCGCACTACTTCTGGCTGACTTTACCCCCCCTTTCTTATCCCCCAGGTACATGATATTGATACTGTCGTGTCCGTTAAAGTCTCCTCTATCTGATGACATTATCAGTTTCATGTTACGCGGCTCAATAATAGATCGGCCAGCAATAGATTTTTTCGGGCGCGCGCACTACTTATGGCTTGAGTTATTGCCAGGTTCACACCAATTAACTTAATCAGGTGATTTTCATATTGCAGAATCAGAGTTAGCTAATTAAAGTTGTCACTTCCATTTGCTTGACTATGATTGAAAACAATCAGCTGGTTGGTTTACTTAACCCATAGGCCTAGTACATTCCACTTGTAAATGTCATCCATCCTACTTTGTTTATTGTAATGTTAAGTATGTTTTTACGGCGATATCTTGAGAAATATTCATCAGCGGTGAAAATTAATGGTATATTTGGATTCAGGAGGTAAAAAACTATAAAGTAAGATATCAAAATTAAAAAATCGTTTGGAGGCACCTGTACAGAATAATTACCCCCATTATTTCCCGTTAAATTACCCATTACACATTAAATTACCCTTTCCCCACCTAACTTTCTGATGATAAACCACGTTAAATGTGCCTAGGCTATAAAGTAGGCTAAGTTGCCTGGATCTAGGAGGTAAAAAACTATAAAGATATAAAAATTAAAAATTCGTTTGGAGGCACCTAGGCTACTTATACTAAAATAATACCCAGTAATTTTTAGAAGCAGTTGGGCAAATTCCTATCCTTCTAGAGTGAAATAGGCTAACTTAGGCTAAGTTGGTTCAAATATTTAAATAGGCTACATTAAGTTCTAGGTAAGTTAGTTGTTGCCAATAAGGTACTGTCAAACTGATAGGCCCTACATGTAAAGTATTTTAGATCAATAAGTAACTTAATGACAGTATGACTAATATTTCCGGCATTCCAAGAAAATGCTGAGACGGCATATTGTTTGTACTCTGCAAGCCCTAGGTCTACAAGCAACAAACGCTAAACATTGAAGCCTAAGAAATAAAATAATAATAATAATCTAATAATACTATTCATACCAGTCACAAGAAAGTCAGTCTATAAACATGTAGAATCAATCACTTGGCAAAAAAACAATCCTAACAATGATCATCAGAATATTGTTTTATCACGAGAGAAATCAATGAAGGAATTGACATGACAACACCGCGTCCGCCATAGAAGCACTCTCTCACTCTCACACTCACAGTCTCACTCAATTCAACCGACTCAACCTCATCTCTCCCTCCACTCCACTCACTCAACATCACAACACAAAACACCAAACACCACGGATGGACCGGACTAGGCACCGAACCGGACCGGGAACCACCACGGCCACCTTTAGTGGAACCACACAGTCTACAACTATGGCACGGCCGCCTTTAACACCTACGGTCGCTAAATTTATAAATTAAATTTATTAAAATATTGAAATAAAACATACAGAATTGAAAACCGAAACAATACGAATTAAAATTCTATATCTGTACATTTTAAGCGGAGTCAATATTAATTGTCATAGTCCAGTAACCAATCTTTCGTAAATACACAAATAATACCATTAGCTGCTTCCAAACAAAACAGCTGTTACAACACCACTTGCGACGTTGCCACTTCGAAGGCCGCGGCCTGGAGTTAATAAAGGCGGCCGTGCTACAGTAGTGTTTGGTATCCATCACGAATACTAGAAAAATACATAGTAAATACACCGTGTCCCAAAAAAAATGAACAATTTTATCTATAAGTATAAAAGAGGATGTTTGTATATATATATATATATATATATATATATATATATATATATATATATTTGTTTGGCAGTGATAAACTCAGACACCGCTGAACCGATTGCCACGAAACTTGGTACATACGTGTAGAATTTCATGGTATAGGTTTATACACCATCAATTTCGTGATCCGTCCAATCGGCTCCGCCCCAGTGGCTCTGGAGTTTCCCATGTTAACCTTATGAGAAATGGAATTAATGAATCTTAACAGCTGTTTCAATTAAACAAGTTGGTTCTGTTCTATGATGTTCAATAGCATTTAAGTTACAAGGATTACCAACAGGGCGCAGCACTATTATTTCTTTTACATTTATGACAACAGCTAATTTGCAAACAAAAGGTGAGTGAGCGTAGCGAACGGCCTTCAACCTGGAGGCGAGTTAGCGTAGCGAACGAGCTAACCTGAAGGCAAGTGAGCGTAGTGAACGAGCTAACCTGAAGGCAAGTGAGCGCAGCGAACGAGCTCCAACCTAAAGGTGAGTGAGCGTAGCGAACGAGCTCCAACCTAAAGGTGAGTGAGCGTAGCGAACGAGCTTCAACCAGGACGTGATTGAGCCATGCGAACGAGATCATCTTGAAAATTAAGAAGTTAAACGGGGCAAAGTCCGCAGGTTACAGCTAGTTTACTTATATAACAAGTTTATTAACAATCACACGATAACCTATAATTACATTTTAACTGACACAAATATTCCTAAGTTTTGTTTGATATATCATATGTGTTAGTGATTTTAAACATGGTTGCCATTGTTGGCAGAAAGATAGTCAATACGGCTGTCCAATTCAGCCCACACTCTATGGCGCATTTCGTCAGTAATTTTGCTGCATTTATTCTTTGCCTCAATTCTCGGACATCGGAAACTTCTGTCTTATAAACTTATAATTTTGACATTTGAAATTTAACTCACATGCTGCACAGCGAATAGACTTTCGAGGGTCGTGAAGAAATAATTGTTGCACGTTTTCAATCAATTTATTTTGGATTTTCGGCCTGCCTTTACCTTTTAAATGTTGCAAGCTTCCAGGTAACATAAATTTGTCATACCAGGCTCGAATGCTGTTCCGTGATGGAGGACGTCGATAGCGTCTTCTAAATGTTCTATGCACTGCAATATCTGACTTACTTTGAATGTACCACTCAACGCATTGCTTTCTCTCGTGCGTTCATGATGGTGCCTGCTTAATGACAGGGCAATGTTTTTTAAATTTCAAGTTTCAAGCGACAACAATGAATCAGCTGATAGTTACAATTGATATTGAACAAAACTTCATGAGCTCAGTTATCATATGATCACCTTCAAAGTAGACTAGATATGCCTGGACGTATTATATAACAATTTAAAAGTGTTCAGTTTTTTTTTTGGGACACGGTGTATATCGAAAACAACCATAATATGATTAATATTTGTAACATTTTAATTTTAAATTTGAGATTTGAGTAAGTTATAAGGATTTGATTTTTGAAGCCAACTGTTGTTTAATATACCATATAAACAAACACCTGAATGAATAGTAATTGATTCGAAGATTTCTTGAACGATTTATCATATAACCGTGGTATAACAATGTTTTTCGTTTGTATTGTAACAATAACAAAATATACCTTATTGTTTCTTTACGAAGAAGTGTTCATCCAATTATCATTTGAATGAGCTACTCAGTTTATTATACATAATTATTAACCAACAGTTGGCCCCAAACACAAATCCCGAACATCAAAATTAAACGGTAAATTCTTTTTACTTAGTTGAGATTACAAAATAAATAAATAAAGATAGGCTACTTAATAATCAAATGTTTACAATTAAACAAAAACAGAAATAGGAAAATCAATCTTTTTTAATAATTTATATATCTGGCTACCCATGTAGCATAGATGGTTGGGCCAACGTTGGTAAATTGTGGAGCCACACAGTTGGCCAACGGTAGAAATGTCACCTCTTTAAACTGTTTTCCAGCCAACCTTTGTCCAACAATGGCCCAACCAAAATTATTTCACACAAAATAATAAAGATTTAGTACGAAAAGCATAATTATTAGTTGAGTAAATTGATTAAATAGTTCATAAAAACAAATTTTGAAAAAAAGCTGGAACAAAATTTTTTGGCCCAGACGGGTTTCGAACCCGGGTCCTTCGACTTATGAGCCTCTTACCTTACCACTGAGCTATCTGTGATTGTTGATACAGAGAGTTTTCAAGTGGTGAAAGAGTAGCCGACAGTTGCAATGGTCGCAATACTTCAAACATTTTTGATACTACACAGTATAATATGATTCTGTTAATCTGTTAAGGCATCATAAGTAGTTTTTTTTTTTCTGGAGTTAGAGAGGATACTGGTATTTGAATATAGATTAATTAATTACCGTTAGATTATTAATGCTATTATAATTGACTGTTATATGATTAATTACTCTTTCCCCTTAAATTGTTGCAAATAAGTTAAAGAATATTAATTTAAAAAATATTTGCATTATTATAATTATTAAAATTCATTGTTGTAGCCCCGGAACTGTAATATATAAAATATCTGGTTTTACAATACCTTTATCAGTTCCAAAAACTTTTGAAAACTTTTGGAACTGATAAAGGTATTGTAAAACCAGATATTTTATTATAATTATGTTGTGAAAGCTAGACCCAGAGAATGAAAGTCGTGTAAACTCAACTATGGACCATCGTTGGTCCAACAAAAGTATCTTTTGTTGGTCCAACGGAGTGAAAAACGGTTGGACAACGGTTGGCTTGATGTATGATACCCAACAATGCATATTAATGTATTTCATTAACAATGAACCGATGTTGGTCCACAGTTGTAAATATTGGTTGGCCCAACTACGAGATATACAGTTGGACAACGGTTGGTTGGTTGTGGAAGCTCCAACCAACCATCGACCAACTGTCCCACAGTTGGCCAACGTTGGCCCAACCATCTGTGCTACATGGGTAGGGGGTTAAAATCCGGTGGGTAATATTCCGGGGGTAAAAATCCAGCCCTTACATCTTCAAATATAATTAATCACCCTCTCTGTCTATTTCATTAGACTTCCAAATCCGCGGGGTAAAATTCCGCCCGCAAACAAACTTTTGAGCGCTCAGGTTACTACGTCATAGTGACGTCAGCTTTGCCCAGGGGATAAAATTCCAGGGGGGATAAAATTCCGGCAACCCCATCCATTTACGTAATTCTTTAATGCTTTTGATCCACACAGTTTCTGTTTTAATATCCGTGGACGTGGACAACCCATATTGTTGCGACGTTCCGTGATCCAATGACTAAATAATGTCGCGACCAACCTAAAGGTGAGTAAGCGTAGCAAACACGTCCACCGGACGTGATTGAGCGATGCGAACGAGCTCATCTTGAAAATGAACGAGCATTTGACGTAAAACCACATAAGGACAGGACGACGTCTGTCGGGCCAGCTAGTTCAATATAAAGAAGAGTGGAATTAAAAAAAAATGTTCATTTAAATTTAATAATTAGTATTTTTGCAACTTCAAAATTGAAATTTAAAAAGTCAATAATAAATTAAAAGATATGTAATTAAGGGAGATGGATGTAAATTGTGTATGTAAAAGTTTTATTCGAAGATTTGGTCAGTTTTTCTCATATTAGCCTACACAAGATTTAAAATTAATCAAAACCAAAATGGTGGTATCCACTATTTACGAGATTTAAAAGTCATAACTTAAACGTTTCTATTAAGGCTATAATAGTTGAATTTTGTTTCTAAAAGCGTTGGCAGATGTGTAACTATATGCAATAGATGTAAAGATTAAAATGTTTCTATTTTTGTCCTCTTCCCGTTGCAAAGCACGGGTACAACAGCTAGTTTAATATAAAATTGCAAGTTACTAGTAATTCTACAGCACTATATTTTTTTTACATTTATGACAACAGCTTTTGTAACCAAAAGGTGAGTGAGCGTAGCGAACGAACTTCAACCTGGAGGCGAGTTAGCGTAGCGAACGAGCTCCAACCTAATGGTGAGTAAGTGTAGCAAATGAACTTTAATCAGGACGTGATTGAGCCATGCGAACAAGCTCATCTTGAAAATTAAGAAGTTAAACGGGGTACAGCTAGTATATAATATATATACACATATATATATAAAAATTTGAACAAATAGTTTTTATGGCCTCTAATGGGGACATCAAAATGAAAAGTAAATCGGGCCTAGGTCTTACAATTTTTTTTGTGTTAGGACGCTAGGCACGAGCCCGGAATTGTTTTTCACATTACTTTAGGCTAGACCTAGGGGTTACGGCATTATCACTTTGATAAAATCCATTGGTGATTTGGCGGGATTTGAACCCGGGACCCTGGAACCGGAGTCCTGCGCTCTAACCACTAGACCAGCTCGCTCCCCTAGGTCTTACCATTAGACCTACCAATAGTTACTTCCCTATAGGGAAATTCGCTAAAAATATTTCAAGTATTCACCATTGCAGCTGTGGCTCCTCTAACCGATTGAAAACATGATATATCAACAATTACAGATAGCTCAGAGGTAAGGTTAAAAGAAAATTAACTGATGATCTCAAGTTCAAGACCCGTGGTGGAAGATATTTTTTCTGGTTTTTTTATCAAAATTTTTTTATGAACTATTTAACAAAATACTTAACTGATACATATGCTTTTCATACTAAATCTTTATTATTAATTTTGTGTTTTATGTGGGATATCCCTATGGGATGGTTGGTCCTATGTGAAAACAATTTTTAAATTGCTGTAAAGTCAATTTTAAAGTTGTTGCAATATAGTTGGAAACAATTTTTGATCTGTATTAAAATGAAACCATTGTCAACTATACTTACATTGATAACAGTTTTAAAATAAGTTTAAAACTTATATAAAACAATTTGTTTCTTGTTTTTCTACTACTTGGGGAACGGCCCAAATTCATTGCGCTAGTTGAAGAACTAAGATTGAAGAAGTATTTCCCAAACCAGATCACTATGTGGGAGAATTAGAAAGTTGGAAACCTTGATTCAGATGGGACGTATGATAAATTATCATAGGTTTAGGAACTTTGGTGAACCCAAACTAAAAAAAAATAACAAAGTCTAAAAAATCTGTAAATATATTTATTAAAATCACTATAAAATGTCATTTATGCTTATAAAGTCTAAAATATGCACTTAAGCAGTTAGTTGTGGAAGCCAATTTCATGGTAGCGATGTAAGATGCAGTGGTCGGTTGACAAACAGTATAGTAATGATTGTATTTAGCTAGAATGATATGTAGCTTATATTCAATTGTCAATGAGTATGATAGTTACAATACAATTAATAAAACAAATCAGATCAGATTAATAATAAAAAATCCATTCTTATGCAAGTGCGTAGTAATTTTCTTATAACGCTAAAATGAATAATCAAATGCTAGAGGGCGAAGAGGGCAAAGCACTAAAGGAAATTACCTTTTTAGTTACCAGCCATTCTTTCGTCCCTCGTTAGATCTTAATTAAGCTTTTTAATGACACCTCAATCATAAAAAATTGTTCAGTAGGACAGCTGAAAAGGGGATGTTACTGAAAAAAAATCTGTAATATGTGGGGGGGGGGGGGTGTCTGTCTGTATGGGATAAACAAACATTATGGAACATATTCTGACTATTATTACACATAACTGAACATTATTCAAGGAGATTTTGTCACTGGAAGAAATATAATTTCTGTTTTACCTAAACATTTTTACAATGTGATCAGTAAACATTTTATTTGTACTGTACACTGGAACATCATAACACATGTTCTGATTAATTGTAAAATGAAAATAGTGGCTAATAATTATGAGTCATAAAATGATGAAGGTAAATATAAGAGTAATATTGTTACAATCTACAGGTCACTATTTTAATTAAAATTTGCGTAGTACAATATATTTAAATAGTTTGTAAACTTGCATGGTTTTGTAGCTATGGAATGAAATAAAAATATTACTTTATTTTGAAAAATAAAATTCACTACTGGTAAATAAGCCGCCATCACTAGACATGAAAGCTACATGAAAAAAGAATATTTGTATGATAATACTTAGTTTACAGGATATAACAGTGAATCTATTTTTAAGGGGACCAGATACATTATTTTTGTTTACATTCCATGACATTTTTTAACTAAACATCACTGGAAATAATAATTAGAATTAATTTAAACTAGAGGCTGTCCAACGGTTGAAAACTCAACCAAAAATATGTAATGTACTGTCTTCTCCAAACAAAACATGTGATTGGAATTTCTTCAATTTGTTTTGATTTAATGTTTATATTTCATTGTTATTTCGTCACCATATGGCAACCCATATGGCCCATATGTTAATTTTTTATTAAATTTCAATTTGATTTTTTGTGGTTGTTTTTGAGCCTTTTTTTAATTTATAAAGGGATTTTACACATCTACAACAGTAAAATATCTTTCTAACAGTGTGCCTAGATTTTCTTTGCAATGCAAACGAGCTGAGAAAAAAGGTTTTAAAGAAACATGCCTGCCTATTAAAATATATAATAAAAATCCTTGATAAGTTGTGCATAGCAAGAGCTATTTACCATTATGTAGTTTTAAACTACTAATTAATGAATGAAGCAAGTATTGAACATACTCCAATTTGCCTATTCATCTAGTATTGTCTATCTAGGATATTTAAATATTCAAAAACTATTAGAAATTTCCAAAATTTTTGTAAGCTATTCAAGATTAAGCTAGGGCTATTGCAAATTTAAAACCCACTCTCTAATAATCTAAGGCCGAGTTAAAGCGAATCAACAAATTTTAATTTAGGGCTAAAAAGTTAATCTGAATACTGGTGATGTTGAGATGCTCTTGAGCTCATTACCTTTTTGTTTTAAATATTAACAAGTAAAAAATATTTAATTAAAATTAACTTAAGAAACTATTTTACCAAGTACAATGGCTGATAATGGTAACGAAATTGGAAATAAAAGTGGTAAAGTGGTAAAAATTGAGCCTTTATGTGAGATCCAGAGACATATATGCGGTTCATTTAGGTTAGTAGTCTTTTCTAATACGAAAAGCAAAGCAAGGAGTAAGTGGCCGGTATATGTAGTACAACAGTAGTAGGGACACTGAGACACAAACCCACAACATCACTATGCCAGGTTTCTCACAGTTCATTGTGGTTGAACTGCCCAGTGGTCTAGCTGTATATTTTCCAGTAAATATTCAAATATTACATTGCAAAATTAGTTTAACCAACCCCTTATTCTTCTATAAATGCATCACTTTGATGTTAAACCCTTACAGAAAAAATTGTGTTATACATATTTTATCAGAATCATTTAAAGTGACTTCATTTAGCTTTATGAAACAAAAATGTACAAAACAAATTATAGATATATGGTAACATACCTCGATTTATAATTTATTACATAGTAATAAATATAAAACTGTTCTACCAGATCTCACATTATAATAAAATTAATCTTATAAACTGTTTCAAAATGTGATCCAATCCTATTTTGTGGGAAGAGGAGTCACAATTTTGCTCTGCATGTGGTTCATTTGCTTTGTAGGGATAAATTCACTCTCTGCTTTAAGAAAAGCTGTTTGTTCCCGTTTTATGTAGAAAGTATGCTAAATAGATATTGAAACAATAACAATAATTTATGAGTGTAACCTATAAGTCTCTACGTGTTTGTAAAGACACAGCTAGTTGACAGCATGGGAAAGGTTTGATGAGGTTTTATTGACATTCTAAATTTCTTTAGAATACAAAATGTGTTATTTCTATTGCATTTGTTTTTGGTTTACGTCAACAGATTTATTTTCAAAAAGTAAAAAAAAACATATAAAAAAAAAGTTATTTAAAGACTTATGAGCAGCAAAATGATATTGATTCTGGACAGATGTCATATTATTCATTGGGCATCTTTTTATTTGATAGTGCTATCTAACAAAACAAAAGAATGACGTTATATGGTAACAATTTCAGGACCAGGGCTTAGTTTGCTCCCATACCAGACCCTAAAAATACCAGTGGCATAGAAAACCACCCAAACACCCAGTGCAAAGTTGGACTCGTAATTTGTGTTGAAATACATAATTTGTAACTTATTTGGACCTCATAGTTTGTATTGCACCTCACAATTTGTATTGGACGCCCCACGGTTTCTATTGGAACTCACAAATTGAAACAGTCAGTACTTATAAATACCTTAAAATATACGAGTAACATTAACAATAAGAACACAATGCTCGATATCACATCAGAAGACTGCGGTGGTTCTGTAAAGACCCGTGTAGCCGCAGAGCCGGGCTCGCAAGGCTGGTATCAGCACGGCTGCTGCAGTCAGGTCCTGTAGGAAGTTGGAACATTCCACCATCAGCATGTACAACTTGTCACCATTGGACTGTGACTTGTGCAGAGTTATCCTTCGAAGCCCCACAGACTTGGGGAGGTACCGGTAGATCATACGGGCACCTGGAACAATTAATATGGGAAGCGTATAGTAGTTATAAAGAAGTTAAAGATTTATGATTGTTTACCAGGAGAGCAGTCTTAGAAGCAAGGTAAGGTTTGAAATGAACATTTTTAGAACCCTCCCACTTCTGGAGATGAATGGAAGTGTAGACACATTAACACATTAACTTCAAAAGTTTTCTTTGGGGTGTAGGTTCAAGAATCAGAGGTTCACTGTACTCAAACTAAACTAAACCCTGGTTATAATAAAACGCTTTGCAAACATACGTACTAGAGGCTTGATGCAAGCACTTTCAATATTCCTTAAAAGTTTGCACTAAATGAGAGATTCTGGATAGTCAGAAGCTAAAGAAAATAGAGATAGGAAAAGGTGAGATATGGTTGAGGAGATAAGATATTTGATCATATCTACCAGCTTAGACTCCTTATCTTGCTGAAAGTTTGTTTATATGTTATACTGTTGCAGAAAATATTGTTACATATTCTTTCAGTGTTGGTTGGTTGTATAGATGAAATATGGGCTATGCGCCACACACCAGTTGTCCAAGCTAACATTTATGTTCATGTGACGATTAAATAAGAAATGGTAAAATTTACATGATTGTATATGGTTGTGTGTTGTGCTGTGTTATTGTTACTGTAAGGGTTGAAGGTTGAAGCTAATACTGACCAGTCCAGTATAGCCAATTCTTCTCAAACTTCTCGCTGTCATCTCCTTCAAACACTTTGTACACTGAGATTATGTAACCTGTGGCCTCACTGTTTGGTCTCTTTGTGCCTGTCTCTAGCGGAGGTCTTGCGATCGTAGCTACCTGCAAGACAAAGGGACAAGGAGTTAAAAATATTGTCTTTACAATTTTGATATTAGGAAGTGACAAATAGAATGGCAAATTAGTTGCTGTTGTTGTTATGATGTGTTGCAAGTCTTATTATAGGGATCTATGGCAAAAGGCAGAAAAATACTCATGTAAGTGATACTATCAATTGTAATGAAAAAAATAAGAAGCATACTACATGTCGCTTGTGCACAAGCAACTGAGAGTAGGATCCACTTGTTACTATCTAGTTTTCTCAAAGTGTGTATATGCTCAAGAGGCTATATGTTTACCTCATTGAAGAGATCGAAGGTGTGGGCTGCGGTGTACCTGGTGCACTGAGGGTCAAACTTCTTTAGAGAGGTCGCTCGGCAGTTGTAGAAGAACTCCCTCGGATCTGTTTGGTTCTTGTTGATCAGATAGTAAGCGATGAAGGGAAACTCAGCTGTAGAATAAATGTGTCATTAAAATCATGTGGAAATAGAGAATACAGTAGAGCCTTGATAACAATACTCTCACAGGGATTAAAAATAAGATTGGTTATCAAGGTTGACTTCTTATCGAGATTGCAATAACACATGATTAGGGGTAAAATAATTTCAATGGGATTTGAAAATGACCCTTGTTATCATGGGTGAGTTGTTATCAGGGTCTTGTTATCTCGCTTCTACTATACTTCCTGAATGTTAGTTTAAAATTTGTGTTGAAAAAGTGATTTAATATTATATGGAATGCACACTATTTGTAACATCATTGTGTCTGCAATGCAATTTGAAAATACCATCGATCTCTATTAAATAATAGAGATCGATGGAAAATACCTATTAGAAATTGAATTAAATATATCACATGGGACCATCTGCTTTTAATTCAACACATTTAAGAAAACGCATAGTCTCATTCCTCCACTCAGAATGAATCAGATAATCTCATAAATTTAACATACCACTAGAGCTGGGTAAAGGGTAGCTAAGCTGTTAATGTATAAAGTGTGATAAAGTTGTACTAGTAATCAGTGGGATGCTGGTGTAAAACTCTGTAAAAAGTCATATAGAGTTTTATTAGTACCTGAGCTGTTTTAGTATTTGCAGAAGAGAATTCTAAAGTTTTTGTTTCAATCCAAACAAAAAGGATCTATAACTTGGTATTGGACCCTTGTTCGTTGTCACTGAGCTTTAATAAATGGCCATGGCCATGGAGTAAAAGCTCGCATGAATCACTAAAATAGTTTCAATAGGCATATCTCACTTCAATCTACCTTTGACTATTGAGAGTACTAAGCATTCCCTCCCTATTTAAGTTGTCTCAAGGTTGAGAATAAAAAAGAACCCTCTGTTGAATCATAGACAAAAAAAATTAAATTTTTTTTGTCTATGGTTGAATTAAGCCATCGATAGAAAGTGGTGATAAAAATTAATCTTTCTGTGTTAATGATTAATGATTTCTGTGGAATTCGCCAACCTTTTTATAGGTCGACTTATTGTATGCTACAGGATCCTTTATGGCATCAACAACACCTCAGTGATCAAAACTAACAAAAAAACTGATGTCTTCTTCAGTAAGTCAGGGATTCTACACAAGCTAATTCAGCACTTGGCTCTCTTCTTCTACACCTTGACTCACCGTTCCTCTCGAGATTTGACAGTAACATCCCTTCCATGGCTGTCTTGGCAGAGCCCACCTCTGTGAGGAGGTCGCAGGCAGCTGTCTTCTGCTTGGCCAAGGGTCGTGTCAGAGGAGACTCCAGGATTGGCTCTATAGGCTCCATCTGGGTCATCAGGTGAATCAGCACGCACAACTTGGGGTCGTCAACCTCTAGCACGCTCAGCTGACTCGGCTTGGCAGTTGGTAGGGGAAGCTGAAGGAAAGTTGGTGGGTAAAAACTCTGCTGATGCTTAAAGTAGCTTAGTTTAAGCCAATGAGAGAATTTTGTAAAAAAATCCTACAGTACAAAAAAATTAATTTAAAAATGGAGGATTCTGGGAAGCCATTTTAAATAAGTTTTTTTGCCTGTAAATAGTGAATAATATATATGGTACTTGTGATTTAGTTGCATAAGAACACCCTCTGTATGCACAAACGACTGATGAACATCAACAAATGCACAGGGAAATCTTAAGTTTTCATAAATTATCTACACATGATTGATTGTTGTCATATCCCCAATTCTATATTGACAACATATGGTTTGATTAATATGTAATTTCAATTTCAAGTAATGGTTATGACAGATATTGTTTTTATGTTTACATTTTACATTTTTGACACTCATTAGAAATCATTCAAAGGAGTTAAATTTTTAGTTATTATAATATACATAGTTATTATAATACATAGTTTCATAGCTTGCTCTAAACAAGGCCGCACTGAGACAAAATTGGCATCACCGCTTTCTCGTCCAACCAAAATAGCTGTTACACTAATTTATAATGGGCAGTATATAGGAAATGTTTATGTTTAGGCCTACCCTTTTATTATTTCTGGTTTTACCATGGCAATAGGCATGATAATGTGACGTTGTCACACACCCAACCCAAGTTGGACATTCTAATGGAATCAACTAACATTGCTTTCAGAACTTACACATGTAATATTACCAAACCTGAAGGGAAAGAGTAAATAAATGTTTCTTACTGTGGAAGATCATGGTGGAAGGAAAAAACATAGGTGTGCTATTCCCACATATTCTGACGTCACTCGGATTGCAAACAAAAGATCACCTGATTGTAACTGTCAAATTAGTATATGTATTTGTTTTGATTTGGTTGTTATTGTTTATATTATTATAAAAACAATAACACTCAAATCAAAACAAATACATACTAATTTGACAATTACAATCAGGTGATCTTTTGTTTGCAATCCGATTGACGTCAGAATATGTGGGAATAGCACACCTATGTTTTTTCCTTCCACCGTGGAAGATACTTCAAAGAGGAACTCCACATTGTTCTGACAAGACACAAACCACTCTTGGTACGTAAATGGATAAGAGCACTAGAGGAATCAAACTGAACAAATTGAATGGCTACACAAATCAGAGCATAAAATTTCTGAAATCAAAAGAATTCAGATTGCTGGATAAAGAAATTTTCAAAAGACTGAATGCCATATTTCCTTAAACACCTCAACTTTAAACTACCCAGTCTTCACCTGCACGTTAACTAAAAGTGGGGGAGAGGGTACAGGTTCCACTGTTTATCAATAATAAACACACATGACAGTTTCAAATAAAGACGAAGTTTAGAAAATGGCGATCTCATAGTTATCGACACACCTGATAGGTTCCTGAAGAGGCATATAAATCAACTACGTCCAATGCTGATACCAAAACTGGAAAATTCCGACCAACGCAGTTGTTTGATGTTCCAATAGGATTCCAAGACAACCAGATATATGCATAGGAATCCAGCTGGAGTTCCAAAACCAATCCAACCAGAACAAGAGATTCTGTCTCCAGAAAGAGCTCATGGCACAGAAAACGTACTACTATAACCCAGAATGCCAACCGCATGGTAAAAAGCATTAAGCTGTTTGAGAGAGCTTTGCCTGTCAATCCGTAGGCAGCGCCACCAGCGTTGCCATGCTAAACCGCTTAATGCTTTTTACCATGCGGTTGGCATTCTGGGTATAGTAGTACGTTTTCTGTGCTCATGGTGAGAACTGAGAAAACAAACGCCAGACCACAGCATGAGCGTTGCATCCCTCAAGATTTAGAGACTACCATACCAACCCTAAAAGATTATTCTTAACTAGTGGGAGAGACTGTCATATCCCTAAGTCTATCTTGACAAACTATGGTTGAGTCTATGACAAAAATTGGTCTGTGGTTGAGTTGAATGAATATGTCATTTCAAATAATAGTCAAGATATCCCAGCCTTCACTACTCAGTACTCACAGGTACTCCGGCAGGTAGGAACCTGTCTATGCTGGCCACAGGGATGATGAAGCAGTCCCGGTCCAGCGTGGCCAAGGTGATGGGCTCGGCCCGTGGGACAGACTGTAGCGTGATGGGACTGGTGGGATTGTTGTACACTCCTGGCCGTGCACCTCCGTTGTTGAAGCTCACCTGCAACATGGCCAAGTTTTTGATTGTTACAAAATATACATACTATCAGGTGGGTTAAACGTCATATAGATACATAATGGAACTGATTTTCAAAATATTTTCCTCTACTTGTTTGTTTTTCAAACCTTTGCACATGATAGCATATTCTATTAAATGTGTTTCCCCTTCATCTTGTGACACAACGGTTACATTTTTCAAAACATGCTTTTGATTAAAAACACACACATCCAGCCATCCTGCCAACCATAGAAGAATAACTTTTCTTGACCGGATGATGGGTTTAAAAAAATAAATTTTCATGAGCTTGAAAACACCAAATCAAAATCTGAATTACAAAAAAAAAAAAAAATACAGTTTATATGAGGGGATCTTTGCGCATACTAATAGGGTCCAGAACTTGTTGCCGAGATATAACGAATAAATAATGCGATATCCATTTACTTTTCAAGGATTATGTATGTTTAAGACGGTTATCAGGCGAATAAAACATCAATTACAGTAGAACCTTGATAACAAGACTCTCATGGGTATTATTAAAAAAGACTTGTTATCAAGGTCGACTTCTTTTCGAGGTTTGCAATAACATGAGATTAGGTCTGAAATAAAATTCAAGGGGATTAGAAAATGACACTTGGTAAAAAGGGTGACTTGTTATCGAGGGTCTTGTTGTCAAGGTCCCACTGTACTACTAATTTATGATAAATTAAATTTCTTGATTTTATATCTATACAATACAATGTGATTTACCCGCCTTAATCAGGTTTGAATTTTCAAACACTTAGCCTATTTAAAACCCTTTTTCATAAGCTGTTTGTCAATTGATTTCAATATGACTGAGGTTAAATAGCCCTATTCAACTTAAAAGGATCATATGTCAAATTACAATTCACTTTTAAACAGATACAAAGACACTTCAGCATCACTAGATCTTTGAAAGACAAATATATCAAACGTTAAGGGTGCGAATCAAGTCCTAAAGCGAATCAAAACTTTATTAGTAGTAATTTTTTCCTCCACTAGATCATAAGCTAGCATGACACATCAATCGTAAAAATCTGTTGCGTAGAATGGAAATAGAAAAGAGGGCGTTACTACAGAGACATCATTTACTGAATTACGTAATCTATCTATCTATATATTAATAGGCAAGCATGTTTCTTTAAAACCTTTTTTCTCAGCTCGAGTGCATCGTAGGGAAAATCTACGCATACCGTTAGAAAGCTATTTTCCTGTAGGTGTGCAGAATCCCTTTATAAATTTAAATAGGCTCAAATATAAGCGCAAAAAATGAGTTTAAAAATTTTAAAAAAATTACATGGATCTTATGCGTTGCCATGCTGGTGACGAAATAACAACGAAATATAAACAGAAAATCAAAACAAATGGGAGAAACTCCAATCATATGTTTTATTTACAGTGTGGGGTGAAACATTAACATAAGTGAGTACATTACATATTTTTGGTCGAGTTTCGACCACTGGACATTACTCGTATGGATAAATGGATAGAATAAAAGATAGGTTAGATGATACGAAAAACTAGTCCTACAAAGGCATGCAAAATCTGTGTTTACGTGGGAAACCCCCAAACGAAAACCAAAATGTATTACAATAGCAATAATTTTAATCTCAAACATTACAGAGTGCACATTTTTATAATCCAATGCTCAGTTGAGCAACAAAGAAGTTTTACAACTTTTTAAAACTTTGACCTACTTCAGCATCACACATGGAGTTAAATTACAAACTTACCCGTCGAAAAATAACTTTTATGTAGAGTAATGATTTCCTCAAAGTCTAAGCTTCTGAAATATATTTCCAGGTGAAACCTCAGTTACAAAAGTTTGGCAGTAAAACTGTCCGCATTGAAACAAACGATGATAGCTCACGAGCCAAACTTTGTTGAGCCACGGGAGCGATTGAAGCATCAAGAGAGTAATCCGTCAAAGAGAGGTTTAAAGTCCCCAAGGGTGAGAAGAAGCAACAGTGTTATCGTGCATCCATCTAATTCTTTTTACGTTTCTTTACATTTTTTACTCCTATGGATTCATTGTTTATGTTTAGTTGTTTATGTATGCCTATTTCAATAATGTGTTTTCTTGGATTTGGAACGAAAAAATCCAATAATTATGTAAAACATGTTTGTTGATCGAGAGCCTTATTTGAGGAGCAACTCACAAGCAATCAGTCCATCCTTTCGACCTCCAAAAGAATCATTTACCATTTATTTTAGGTCGGGTTTCCACCACAATATCTACCACTTACAGATAAGGTCCTGATGAGACCAGACCACACCTTGGCAGAATGCGACCTATCAATCTATAATGGCCATAGAGACAATACCTTAGTACTTGGCAGGAACCAGGCTACTAAACAATTATTTATAGATCAGTTGATTTATTTAAAATTTAAAATAAACATTAGTTAAGTTGGTTTTTACAACGATTTAAGTTCATTTTTATTTTCTCCCCTATGGAGAAAGTATTGTTTTCGTCAAAATTTTCGATATTGAGTTTTGACTGGACATATTCTTTTTGGGTGTCTCTATATTCTATACCCAAAAAAGTGGGTTTCGAAGTTATGTCTGTCTGTCTGTGTGATTGTGTATGTATGTGTGGTTGTGTTCAGAGCTACTACAGACCACATCATTCTGTAGTCCGATGTTGATGAATTTCTGTATGTAGCTACAAATCCATAGTATATCATCTAAGCAGTTTTTTTTAAATATTGATTTTTAATTGCGATTTTCATAAAATAACATAAAAAAATTATTTTCTTGAAAATGGCCCGAATAATTAAAATGGAACGATTTTGATACAAATCTAGTATGCTATATCATTGACTTTTGGGTCCTTTAAATTTAAAACAAAAAGGTACAACTCCCATTTCTGTAAAAATTACGGATCAAAAGTATTTGTAACTTAGGCTTATGTAAATAACATACCCCATAAAATAAAACGGTAAATTTCAATCTTGAAAAAACTGGTTGTAGGCATACTTTAATAAATTCTCGTAGGTGTTTTCGATATCTGCAGTTTTTATTTTTTATTATTTTGTAGATGAGCTGCTTACGAATGAAATAAAATTCTCTTCAAACTATAAAGTGAATAAAACATGTACCATGTGTATGTAATAAAATATATGTATGTATCAAATCTTGTTTTATGTATGTAAATTAAATGATGTGTTAATGTAAAATGTAAATGTGTGTTTAATATATTAGATCTGACTGTATTAGTAGTTATTAGTTATGTATGAGTTATTAAACTCAAATATATCCTAATCCGTCTAGTTTTCTGTATATTTAATACATTTTAGAGCTTCAAGTAAATTAAATATATAAACTAGATAATATATTTTTATTTTAATAAAAACCCATACTTATTAATTTGCTGAACATAGGAACACTAAAATTTAGTAAAATTTTCATGTTCAAAATACTCATCTTAATAATTCATACGAGTCTTTGAAAAATACAAAATTTAATTTTGAATTGTACAAATTCTAGTTTGAACAGGATTTCAGCGGTCTTGACAGTGTCAGAGACTTGGATCTGCTCCAAGAGTTGTTTCTTTTTGTATCCAAAATAAGATATACAATTAAACTTGAAATCATGTAGGTGTACACTTTGTGATATTATTATTGGCTTGGTTAGAGGAAAACGGGACGTTGTTTGTGGCAATGTTTGCTTTTAGGGGTATTTATAAATCCATGCAGAAAATAAAATCGTAGAAACTCACAAACATTATAAACTTTTCAGAAAGATTGATTTTACGTATCAAATTCCACCTTATTTGCCCCAGCAAATGTAGATAATTTATCTTTATATTTTGCATCTCTATTTAATTTTATAACTATAAGAAACTATAATGTGCAAAGGTGGAGACATTTCATTCCAGAAAATGTTTAATACATTATATTATTAGAAAGTTTGAGAACCTAGTTTTGTCAGAAATTCTGATTTTGGGTACGAGCCAACGTTTATTATTCAAGAGGCAGTGTATATGAAACTTGTCAAAACCTAATTACAAAAGTGTCAGAACTTCTTACTAGGCTAAGAGATCACACTGAAACCAACTATCATCTTGGTCAAGTAAAACTTCTTAAACACACTTTTAAATAGTATTAAATAATATTTAGATACAGTGGACATTTAACAACCACTAATTAATTTAAACAAACAAAGAAGTAAAGGTTCTAAAGGTTCGCTTAAATTGTCGGCGATGTTTAACGTTTTTTCTTACTCAATTTAAGTTTTTTTTTATTTACTTCCTAAAGTAAATCTATATACAGGGTGTCCCAAGAACTCTCTACCAATATTTTAGGGCATTGCTCCTGGGTAAAAAACATACCTAAATATCATATTTAAATTGTCCGGAAGTCCTTAGTTACTCACACAGCCGCCATTTTGTTTTTTTCAGTTATTATTTTTTTTCTAAAGAATGGTTAAACTTACGAAATTGAAACTTTGCAAAAACATTTATGACAACTAGACAAAGCTACCAAAAAATTATGACGATTTTTCCAATTCATAAAACAAAATGGCGGCCATTTAAAATTTTGTTTTTTAAATAACTCGAAAACCGTTGATTTTACAAATATTTTACAAAAGTAACTTTTACAAGGCAATTTTAATACAAATCGATTAACACCTTAGTTTTTAAGATTGGAGGAGTATTAACTGAGATATGGCGATTTTAGTGATACGTGACCGCTTTCAGCATGCGCTCCAACTAACATCATGCGCTCTAAGGTTTCAGAGGTCACGTATCACTAAAATTGCCATATCTCAGTTAATACTCGTCCAATCTTAAATACTAAGGTGTCAATCGATTTGTATTAAAATTGCCTTGAAAAGGTTACTCTTGTAAAATTGTTGTAAAATCAACGGTTTTCAAGTTATTTAAGAAACAAAATTTTAAATGGCCGCCATTTTGTTTTATGAATTGTAAAAATCGTCATAATATTTTGGTAGCTTTGTCTAGTTGTCATAAATGTTTTTGCAAAGTTTCAATTTCGTAAGTTTAACCATTCTTTAGAAAAAAATTAATAACAGAAAAAACAAAATGGCGGCTGTGTGAGTAACTAAGGACTTCCGGACAATTTAAATATGATATTTAGGTACGTTTCTTACCCAGGAGCAATGCTCTAAAATATTGGTAGAGAGTTCCGGGACACCCTGTATATAAAATCCAATGTATGTTTGTATGTTTGTATGTTTGTATATTTGTATGTTTGTCCTTTATGGACTCCGAAACCGCTCGACAGATTGTAATGAAACTTTCAGGCATTATTAAGCATTATTCAAGGATGGTTTGTGTGAAGTTTGGTGCAGATCCGTCAAAAGGGCTCCGCCCCAGTGGCTCTGGAGTTTCCCATGTTAACCTTATGAGTACTCATATTTAAATGGAATTAAAGAATCTTAACAGCTGGTTCAACTAAACTAATAATAAACATACGACAAGTGTTAATTGATAGTAATTTACCACTCATACATTTTCCTTCGACTTTGACAATTAATTATTATTACAGTTTAAATAAAAGGAAACCATATTATACTGTTAATTGTGTCATACTTCAATTTTAAAGAAGAATAAATCATCAGTATTTTGCTCCTTTAATTTCAATGATGCAACCCGCTAGTGGAGGGTACAATCAGTGATCACATAAGACCAATATGAACTGGTCTTGCGGTCTTATGTTGGTCACGTGATCGCTGGATACCACGGACCATCGCCTGCCACAACAATGCAACTTGTAAGAATAGTTGGAAGCAGTCTTGCAGAGGGCGGGAGATTTAACCATCTATAATCGCTTCTTCTGCTAGATTTCCGCTTATAGCATTCCAGTCTCATTCACTATTAAATCGCTGGTTTCTGTATTTCATTCATTGACAGAGCGGACTTTTAAATCTGTAGTCACTGACTGGGAAATTATATTTCACTTACAGTTGTTTAAATTGAGAACAGAAATAAATCAATGCCAAAGAATTTATGTTGGTAGAAATAATAACTAATGAAAACTTCTATATTTATTTGGTCAAATCACTTCGGTTGACGACCGCATCGTTGAAAGGATGAAACAAAAGTCATCTGCTGTGACCGTGAAAGCCTATCAATATTTTGGTTTGAAAGATACAATTTCGTAGAGTAGTTAAATAAAAGCTATAGAACTAGTTAAATACTTACAAAAATAGTTGGATAAAACAGCAAAACTGCTGTTGAAACGTTAACATTAAACTGGGATTATTTTAAATAGTCCTCCAAAATAAAGCGATAGGTTTTTGTCAGCAATAATTGAAATAATTGAATCGTATTAGTTTAGATCCACACAATATGCTTATTTAATCAAATAAGTGAAAGAAAGCTACAGTTTAAGGTGGGCAAATACCAAATCATATAAAGTTTGATAGTTTGTTGTTTTTGAACAATAAACTACAAAATATCTAAAGATTGCAGCAAAATTATGATCAAGCGATCGAAATTAGACAATTTCAAAACTACAACATGAGATTAGAAACCCATACGAATGCGATAAAAATCTAAATTGAATTTAGAATTTATTAATGTAGTATGGATATGACAGTTATTAAAGGAACAAAGTAGTCAACGAAATATCAAACACATAAAAGTTGCAGCAAAAATAAGACTAGATTAATAAAATTAGATAAAGCTCAAGAACACATTAGGTCCCCAAGTTGGAGCTATAACAATGAATGCATCACATTCGGTTCAGTGGTCATAAAGTATAAAAGCTCTCTAGAAGAAATGCATTTCCTTTGATGTGGGCTATTACCAAATCATATCCCTAATATGATATTCTTTCATAAATGTTTGATCTTGTATTGCAATAGTGATTCTTCGTTATAAACTAATCATTTCGAAAAAGTGTTTTATTTATCTAATTTACTTTTCTGTAAAAAAAATTACAGTAGCTGGCTGTATTCCAAAATAGATTGCCAATTTATTTAACTTTTCCAAGCAGAGTTGACTATTGCAGTAAGAAACCATTGTCAGGAAACGAACTAGAATGTTTTTTTTTGTGAAAGCTGTATAGACCTATCGTTGGAAGAGTATTATTTTTACGCCTGCCTTTAAATCTGTTGATCTTTAGATTACTAATGCGAATAATAATCTAGAGTATATCTATTTATTATTTTAGTGTGATGTGTGATGCCATTTAATGCGCGAAACTTTAGACTTAATTTGATTAGAACCTAACTAAAGGGTTTAGCAAAAATGTGTTCCACATTTTACTTATCCATGTTAAAAAATACCCTAGATGTTTCTATATCAATTTATGCTATAAAGATAGATTTTTGACCTAAATGAACTAACCACCTAATAAGAGCTATATAATTGTAGTTAATAAATTAATAAGCTTAAATAAATAAATAAATTTTAATAAATTTTAACTAAATAAATTAATTTTTAGGGTAATAATTTTAAGGGTTGGTTTTAATATGGAGTAATATAATTTAGTAATGCTATATAGTGATAAATATTGTTTAGCCAAAATTCCAATTCAATTACTGTACTAACATACTGATTCAAAACCTTTACAACAGTGAATTAGCCATATTTTTTTAGTTTAAAAGTGTACCGAACTTATTAGTTAAATACAAGTCCAATAAAATTATGCCTCTTTTTACTGCGGTCATTGCCTCTTTTCCATAATAAATTATATATACAATATAAGTTTATAACTTCTTGATCAGCATTGTACGTGTTATTAAATTTACGGAAAGTAAATAAAAGAAACGTCTTATAACACTTAAAACATATATTTACGCTTATACTGTTACTCACAAGACGGTAAATATACAAAAACGATGGTAAGTGGTGATCGATTTCGATTGGACACTCCAATCATCATCAGACCCAATAGGCGAATGACAAGAATCTTGAATGGCGTCCCTACTTACACACTCTTGAAGTAGGGACGCCATTCAAGATTCTTGTCATTCGCCTATTGGGTCTGATGATGATTGGAGTGTCCAATCGAAATCGATCACCACTTACCATCGTTTTTGTATATTTACCGTCTTGTGAGTAACAGTATAAGCGTAAATATATGTTTTAAGTGTTATAAGACGTTTCTTTTATTTACTTTCCGTAATATAAGTTTATACATTGTATTATCCTACAATTACACAGAATGTTATTATAACTATCATTGTCAACTTACACCTTAACAAAACTGATTACTGTACCACTATTTACTGCTTCAGTAACTTTCAAATACAATATTGTCATTAGAGCCAAATGTTTTTAAGGATATTTCTACTGTTATTATTCAACACTGTTGTCAACGGTTAACAACAAACTTGTATTCTTACCGTACATTTAATGTACTGTCCTTTGTATCGTTACTATTTAAACGTTAACGATGAAATATAATGGGGGATTGTATACTCAAGTTTATTCCACGTAAACTTGTACCATTACAGTATTCTATTGAAAATATACCAGCTTAAAATTAATTATAAATTTATTATCTATTTAAGCTACTGTTTCTTTGCTTATTTACATTGATAATTTTACTGTCAAGATGTATTTGCACGAACAATGTGACAATATATGTATATTGTCTTTCAATTTTTCATTTCAGGGTCGAGTATATTATGGAATACAATCACCATATCTTAAACTATACATGAAATGTAATGACTCTAATACTACAGTATACTCTCATACAAAGTGTAATTTCTGTCGGTAAACTGTCCTACAGATAAACTCCTCTACTTCAATGCCATTATTTTACAGATAACCAAAAAAACATTTTACCAATCGTCAACACCGCCATTAAAATTTACTGTCAAACACTCTACAATGAGCCAAATCTACTCCATGCCAATTCTCTTGAGCCACTTGTCAGCCCCAACTAGCATTTATACAAATTCTACCACAACTATTCCCACTTCACTCACCTGTCTGCTAGGGGTGTCCTGGTTGAGGGGAAAGTCTCCCTTCCCCCCGGATGGTTTCCTCTTGGTCCCCCCCGTCGCCCACTTCATCAACGTCACTGACGGCCTCTTTTGTGACAGCCCGTGCGGAGGGTCGTCCTCGTACTCCTGCGGAAGGTTAGATGGACTTAGAAATATGTGGGTGCGATACGCGTAATGGTCATCCATCAACGCGTAATCCCCCGTTCGTCCTTTCCCCCCGGGTTTTCCCCGACCCCTCGGTTTCCCCCATTGCTGCTTGCTGTGCTCCGACTGGAAGTTCTTCCTGAAGAGAATGTTCATGTTTGAGCTACAGTAACATCGCGACGGCTACAGACGCACTACCGCGGGACACTAATTTAGAAAGTTGGCCCTCCTCTCGGTTTATTTTCAGAGACAATATCAACTCCCCCAACATTCTCTAGGTTGAGGCACGCTTCACGCACCCCTCCCCCCCCTCTTGTGACTCATTGTTGTGGTTGTATGTCAAGTTTAACTGACAAGCAGTCTGGGTAGGAGGAATCGTTATACTTTCGTTTGAAAAACTCTAAATTTATTTTACACAAATAGGCCTATACAATAAAAATTAAACTCACTTTTTTATTTTATGTCAGGACACAAAAATGTGATATCGGTATGAGATCATTTGTTATTTATTTACAGCATGGGTGTTAGAGTAATTTACAAAGTAAGATGCATCCATGACACACTATTTGACTAATAATTTTAAATCCAACGAGTAGTTGTATTGAGTACAACAATATAACTTCTATGCTACCACTTTTAATTTAAGCTAAACATAACTTATTATATTCAAAAATAGCTTCAAAACTGAATGCGTCAGTTGGGGGCGTTTCTGGTCTGTGTCCAAGTCTTCTTCCGGCTCTACGGGTAATAAGATTGTGTTACAAAATATATTATTTTTGTGTTATTCTTTAAATGGTTTTTTTTACTAAGAATGACGCTTTATCGCAGTTCTTATAAATAATCATACAACAACACAATAAATTATGTTTTACTCTTTTACAGGAAATATTCGGACATCCCGAATTCCAACGAATAGATAAAATAGTAACAGAAACAACCTAAAATATTTAGAAGATTTCAGATAGTAAAGTGTCAATTCTTTTAAATTTATTTGGATCGTTCATCCAGGATTTTACTAATAAATATAAAACAAAATTATGTTTGTTAAGAAACGTCTAAGGCAGCAAAGTATAAAATATATTATATAGATTTGGCCAATACATTAATCACATACTAAGCTACTATTATTATATATTTTAATTTAAACAGTTTTTTTCAATTTAACTTAAGAGTTTTTGGAATAAATTACTATGGAAAATTTCGATAGTTTTATGATATTTGTAGATCCATAAAAAAGTAAACAGATGTGTTTGGGAACCTAATAGATGGATCATAGAAAATTCATTGAAAATTAACTTAGTTTAGTCTATAAACATATTAACACTTTGTTGGTTAATGTAATGCACAAACTATTCGATACTGCTTTCGTATATTACTCGGTCATTTAATGAATGCCAACTTTTGGCTTGGTTGGCACACCTTGTGGATGGAAATAGCTCAGTTTAGCCAACTGTTACGCTCTCCTTGCCTTTGGTGTGTTTTCAATTTTACTTCATTCTTTCTAATCTAGAAAATTAATGAGGGTTTACATAAAAAAACTTTAAAACGAGATTTGCATTTTTAATTTTTAAATGTTTTTGCCTCGAATTTAATTTACAAACACATAACACAAAGGCACTAAGTTTACGTTAGATTTCTTTGTCAAATATATATTTTTTACCATTGTAAATAGTTTTAGCAATGTCATACATTTTAAGGCTATTTCAAAGTTTAGTGGAAAAGTCCAAAATGATTATCAGAATACAAAACCTCTTTTCCCATAGAATAAAGCTAACTAATCCGCAAAATCATACAAATAAAGGTTGATTCAACACATTTGATGCAACATTTATAAAGGTTAAAGACATACACTGATAACACAGTTGACTGTTGTACCATAGAGTAGGCGGACCAGCTATAGCTAATTTAATAGTCGAATCGGCCAGTCACGGAGTCTACCAAAGTAACAAAAACTTTAGTTTCTCTTATAGTATTCGATACTTTGATATTTGATGTGACATAACAGAGAAGCTTACAATAATTTATCCTTTTGTTTGACTTAGTTAAAAAAAAAAAAAATAGTGACTGAAAACAGCTTAATGACTAGCTTCAATTTTATTTTCACACTTACTACAGCTCTTAAACGGTAATAGGATGTCTACTACCCTTCTTAGTCAAGGGTAACTTAGTTACTTACCTCGTGTTTTCTAAATAACGATTAACTTGAACTAAGACCAGTCTCAAACAAAGTTTAATGTTATTCAAATCCATTTTCTGTCTTTAAATGCCAATTATTTAACCGGTAATATACTACATGCTATACAAGGATTTCAGTATGAAATTTAATATTAAAATAAAATAGATCCCTTTCAAGCTCTCATTAAACTTCATATTGTTTTAAAAAAAAGAGAAAAAAAAAACTGGCGTCAACAACAGTAACAGTTACCGATTTGAAAATAATATCGTGTTTATGTTATCCAAGAGATTATTATGGAATAATAAACGAAGACCAATTAAACCTGGAATCCCCAATGGGTCGTGTTTCTATGCAGTAAACAAATAATTATTAAATTGTGTAGTTTATTAGTGTATCTGTCCATAGCGTGTACTAATTAATTCAATTAATACATTAAAATCTTTTCCAGATTACAATATTTGTATGGTAATCTTCTATTATACAAATCCAATGACAAAAAATCCTACAAATCCTTTAGATTGACATGACCCAGTTTCAGAAAAACCTAGTGTAATCGCCACAAAAAGACAATCAACATAATTCCACGCTGTTGCATTATGTAGGATGGTGCAATTGGGTCTTTTATTTCTTTATCTGTGCAGCCCTATTATTGCTCATGTTTGTTCATACTCGATATGTTTGTATTCCAATTTAAGTAGTACATAAACCAATTTAAATCCGTAGGTAGATGTAATATGGTGGTAATTTAATCAAAACTAGTTAAAAGGACGACGAGGAGTTTTAACCATAGATGAACTAACGTGAACAATCCAAGTCATTGACAGAATCTTTCGTAGTCTTCACAGGCTAACAAGCTTAAAATTTTCCATTAATTGTTGTATTGTTCGAGTATTTTAAATTGAAATTATACAATAATTTTATTAAAATTGCGTGTAATTATTACGCCACACTAAATTATTTTGACGAACTTCCCACGCAAGGATTTAGTCCAGAAAACAGCTGTTTGCCGCCAGTTTATTCAAATGGGGTTTCATTGCGTACTACCATTGACTATATATATCTACTGCATTGAGTTTTACCGGGCACCAATCAGCTGATTATACTGTATTTAGGTGGCAATGAGTGGTTATAAACAAAAAGATAACCTCTTCTAAGAGGTTATGACTAGTGATTTTTAGACCTTTAGTTGGTGGAAATATACTAAACAAAATGTGTAACAAATAAAACTATCGTTTTCCTACAGGTACCTAACAATGTACATGTTCTCTATATGATTTGAGAAAGCAAAGCGGCCAATTCGCTCATCAGTGAGACAATGTTAACATTGTCTCACTCTAATTGCTTTGTCTCCAGATTTGCAACGTGAAGGCACGACATATTGAGCGCGTAACATGCAGACAAGGTCGTATGCGCGCAAAATACGTTGGCAGCACTGGCTGTAAATCAGCTGGTCAGCTGTTGTACTGTTGTATCATTAAATGTCATATTAAAAGTTCACTTCTGTGTAAAAATATGTTACGTTTCTTTACCAATTTATTTGTTTTATGGTAACTGTAGGAAAAATATAATGTGCAACTCGAGTGCAAAGAGTTCACTTTGCTCACTAGTTGCACAAATAACTATTTCCATCAACTATCACAGCATGAGAGACGTAGAAAACTATAACTTTAACAGTAGACTTCTCTATAATAGGACGATACAACTACTTTGAGAAATCCTGCTGCTTAATGTCCCTTTAGATGACACAGACATTTATGTCAGTTTACAAAGTCAATAGCCATTCAAATGTAATAGCACATGGTAATCATCAAAATGGCTTGCATTGTTACACTTGGCTTAATTAATTGAGCCTATTACTGCTAATAAGCTTAATCGCTATAGCACTCCTGTTTGTGTAGGCCTATACTAATAACATTTCTACTCTATAAAGATGTGGAATAGGACTATATAAGCCCTGAATTGAATTGAATTGTCTTAGTGCAATTCAGATAAATATAGTCATAAACGATATTTCTGTAAATATTGAGTTTAGTAAGTTAAAGCAACATTAATTATATGTTTTCACTTTATATTATTCGTAAATTTGATGAATAAACGCAATGTATTTTAACTTAGTGATACTAAATTAACAACTACTAACCTTGGATCATCATACGGATCAAAAACTGTAATATTTTAATCTAACATTTATTTTTTTATATAAAAAATCAATGCAAAAAAAAAATTGTTCCAGAGGCTAATTTATCATGTAACCCATTTAATTTTAACCCTTTTAACTTTAGCTGTGTTTGTACAAAATCTCGCTGTGCAAGCAAAACAAAAAAAAAATTAAGTTTGAAGGACCATTTTACGCTTCTGACGCAAGTATAATTTCCCGAAAGTACTTAATTATAAAAACTTTTCTGAGGAATATGGTAGTTTATTAATAGAACACGCAGAAGAATGTACTGTAGTCTTAAATTTCCCAACATCTGATAACTGCTGATTAATGCTCAATGTACGGAAAAATCATGTGGTGTTATCTAAAAATATGTTATGTGTTTTGGAGTCTATTTAAAAAGTAGCTACACATTAATATAATACTAGAGGTTTTATAAATAGTTCAAACTTTTGTTTATTGTAATTCAATTTACTGACATTAAGTTAATGTTTTAGTTGGATTGTAAGGCAAACGTAAAAGTTAATTATGTCCGTAAAACACAACAACACAACCTACAAAAAAATTGTCACTAAAAATTTAACATTAAATAAAACACGATTTAAAATTAGCATAAGCTTGTAACTGATCGAAATAAAAAAATGTATG